ATGAATAAGCCATTATTGAATTCAGTTTCCCAGATAGCTGTTTAGGTCCTCCTACCTAGGCAAAATCATAACATAAGCAAGGTCTGTTTGGGGTATTTTTCTATCGGCCTTTCGGAGATTCTCTTCCACCTCGTGTATTCTATTTCCTTTGATTTCTTAATTTATACCAAGAAATCTCACTTTCTGGGTAGAAACCATTTCTCTTATATATGTCATACCATGTTATCTGTTAAGTTAATTACCTAGAAACTCTTTTACTTCCCCTTTATCAACTGTGTAAACAAACTAGTTTCCTTTCCTAGCTGCTGCTTTTTCTGAGTTTCCTCCTGTCCATCCTAAGGCCAGTCTCTCTAGGGGTTCTGTGGATCTCTGTCCTCTTCCCTTACCAAGAACTTTATTCTCCTATACCAGTGTACATAGTAGCATTATTCACAGTAGCTAAAAGGTGGACACACCCAAATCTCCATCAGCAGATGAATGGATAAACAAATATGGTACGTACATACAATGGAATGTTATTCAGCCTTTAAAAAGAAGGAAATTCTGATATAAGCTATAACATAGATGAAACTTGAAGACATTACACTAAATAAGCCAGACACCAAAGAACAAATATTATATGATTCTACTTATATGAAGTACCAAGACTAGTCAAATTCAGACAGAAAGCAGAATAGTGATTACCAGGAGCTAGGGAGAGGGGAATGAGAAGTTACTGTTTAGTGGTACAGAATTTATTTGGGATGATGAAAATATTCTGGAGGTTGATGGTTACACAACAATGTGAATGTACTTAACGCCACTGAACTATATCCTTAAAAATGATTAAAATAGTAAATTTTATGTTATTTATATTTTACCGCACTTAAAAAAAAATAACTTTATTCTCTTTTCTCTTCCATCTCTAACCTCTCATACTCTGTGGCATCTCTTCCTCTCAGCAAACAAAAGTCTTTCAGTATCAGCCAAATTGAAAACCTCCTTCTTCAACATCCCTCCCTGCCTCTAGCTACCATCCTACCAGCCAGACTTCTTGAAATGATGGTACACACACTCACTCCTGAGATCACTCCCACTTGGCTTCTGCTCACACCACACCACCACACCACTGAATCTACGAGCCAGACTTCTTGAAATGATTGTACACACACACAGACACACACTTTTGCATTTACCTGTCATTCACTCCTGAGATCACTCCCTCCTGGCTTCTGCTCACACCACACCACCACACCACTGAACCTTCCCAAGATGAATGCTTTCAAATTGCCAAAACTAACGGACTCTTCAGTCCTCACCTCACTGGACTTCTCAACTGTATTCCCATCTGTTGACCATGTCTTCCTCCTACAGTACTCTCTTTGGATATCATGCATTGCACGCTCCTGAGTTTCTTCCTGTTTTTCTGACTGTTCTTTTTCTGTCTCTCTTGTGTACCCTCCACCCACTCCTACTATCCAGCCTTTAAATGTTATAATTCCTCAGGACTTTGTCCTGGTTCTTGTCCCACCCATTGGGATTTCCTAAAGTCATACTTAAAATAACCATATTTAAAAGTTAACTTGATTCCTCTTCCCTCGACTATCTTCTCTTTTCAGCAGCCACTTCTCTGGTCTAAGCCACCATCATCTTTCACCCACACCCCTGTAGACATCCCCAATCAGCTTTACTGCTTTTACTTGCTAATTTTCACTTCAGCAACCGGGATAGTCTTTTAAAATGTACATCACTTTGTACACCTCTGCTTAAAATGACTTGGTTTTTCCTCTAACAATTGTTTAAATCTCCAAAAATCCTTACTTAGCTTCTCTGTTCCTTGGATTACGAAGGGATGACCTACTTTCAGACCAAATGCCCATCTTCTCTCAGACCTCACTCCACGGTCCTTGCCCTCCTTGCTATCCGAATCGTGAGCCAGCATCCCCTCGGCTCTCTGTGCTTCGGCTCTTCTGACCTTCTTTCACTGCTTGGAATGCGCCACACCTTCCCCATCTCATGTCCTCTGCATGTGCTGATTCCTCCACTAACAAGGTTTATTTCCTGTCTTTGCTTGTCAGAACCTCTCACCTTTATAGTCTCAGTTTGTGTCATGTCTTCATTGAATACTTCCCCAACCATCTGATGTCTTCGTACTGTCTCTCCTAACACCCTTCACAGCACTTTCACAACCTACAATTACATACATATATTTACTTGGTTGGTAACTGTATCCTCTATTAGAATGTAAATTCCATGAGGGTAGTGTCTGGTTTTGTATCCCAACAGAGTATCAACCTACACTAAGTGCTTATGACAATTTCTGACACAGAAGAGATACCTAATAAATATTTTAAAACAAATGCATGAACAAAAGAAGAAAGCTAGCAAGCTGGTTTTCCATGAAGCCTTTTTATATAGCCTTTCTATAGCAATGAGCAGGGACAGGTGTTTTGAGCAAACTTATAATTCATGAAAATCTAAATTTACGTAAAGGGTATGTTGAAAGGTGATTTTTCCACTTTACAAAAAGATCCATCATAAAATTCTTTAAACAATTCTTCCCAGGTACATGGAACGTAAGGTTTCATTGATTAAAACCATATGTTTGCACAGAATTCTTCAGGAAAATATCTTTTATATAAAGCAAGGTTGACCTATAAGCAATTTCCTTAAGGCACCTAGCCCAGAATGGCCAACTCTCAAATTTCCTAGGTAATAGATAATGGGAGACCTGGAATGCCGTGGATATTTGAAACCCTAGAATGCAAAGCAGTAATTTCAGCCATTTGGGATCCTCATAACTTTTCTCACAAAAATAGCTAATGGGAAGATGAATCAGTGTATTTGAACCTCCTCAGTTCCTCTTTCTGTAGGTCAGTGAAAGTAAAAATGGCTGTGAAATGATCCCCAAAGAGGCTACTATGGAAAGGAGAATAAAGGCTTGTAAAATTCACCAAATTGATGATGCTTTTCTCCCAACTTGCCCCACCGCCACCGATAATTAGGTTGTCTGGTTGCAAAACTGGAAACAAGAATTGTGTATTAATAAATAACATGCAGTTAACTTCTTTGGGTCTTAATTTTCTCAGCTCAGCAATGTGAGAATCCTTCTAAAAATTATTGTTTTATAATTCTGTTCTTGAACCTACTCAGACTTTATAAAATAAGGTAATTTGTGACTGTTCTCTGTTTAATGAAATAAATTTATCAGCTATTTCTGTCATTCTTATTGGAAACTTTAATAAATGATTATGAACTTCTCATCAAAACATTTATAATATTTGTAGATTTGGTTAACTTGACTATTATTGATGATTCATGCTAAAAAGAAAATGCTTTCCAGAGTTTACTTAACAACTAACCTTTTCATTATCAGACATATTCCACTATGATGGAAGTGTAGCAAGCTACCCTTGAACTGTAGTTACAAGTGAAATATTATAGCTGCAGAGAGGAAAAACACTTTATCGGTTGTGGTAATAAAGATCAAACTAGACCAGGGTATAGGTCAGTTTTACTCATCAAAAATAAAACTATTATCTCAGAAAATCCAAAACTTCCAAATTTAGAAGAAAATATTTGGAACATGGGGAAAAAACAATCCTAATATCTATAGAGTTCTTGGCAACATTTTCGCCCTTGGCAACTTCCCAAAGCATTAGCCTACCCTCATTTCCCACAATTTTTATTTTTTGCCTACATATTACCATATTTGTTGACATTTTGAGGGAAAATTATTTCTCTAAGTCTTGTACTAAAGTATTAGCTTCTTATGTAAAGGATTTTAGAGTAATAATGTTGATCCCTAAGACTCTTCTGCATAGGTCTAAAAAGCTAAAAAATGTATTCATGGAAACACTCATTATTTAGATACCTCCTGCTTTGTAGGTTAAAGAGAGATCTTGAATATGTCAGCAAATTCAACTTTATATTTGAAAGTTAATGTTCCTATATTTTGTCTGTATTTTTTCTCTCTTCCCTGTTTACATCTATAAATGATAGCAGGTCATTTTTCATTGAGAAAGAGGAATAGATTAAGAAAAGAAGGCAGGAAAGAAAAAGAAAAAAAAAAGAAAAAAGGCTGAGGATGATGGAGTTAAAGCCGATACTTGATGAACCAAGATCTCAAAAAAAAAAAAAAAAAATTGCAGTGTAAGCAAAGCCGATGGAGAGGTGGCACTGGGAAGAAAGTTCATGAAAGAAGATTTGTTAGTTGGAATTGTAAATTGAAAAATATGCAGAATCGCTCAGACTGGGAGAGGTTTCTAAGGAAAGCAGGATACTGTCTGCATTCTGATAACTGGAATGTAGATATTAGCAGTGATGTCTTCCATGTAAGTGATACTGAGAGCTGCCATTTGACTAACAACCTGCTTTGAATTGAAACACAATCCAGAAAGAAACAAATATTTCCCCATTTTTATGAAATTCTGAGAATGTGCCATGAAAGAAAGAACGCAGTGTAAGGAGGCCACCCAAGTTCTACATCCAGCCCACTTCCGAACTTGTTGGGTAGTCTTGGTCAAGGCCCAAGTACTCTCAGAGCTTTCAGTTCTTCATTTACAATATGAGGATATTGAACTAGGTGCTCAGTAAGGTCCCTTGCAGCACGCTCATTATATAATCCCAAGAGTTTAACCTTAAATGTCAATGCCACTTGGAGGTCTGGAGGCCTGTTTAGGATGTTGGTCAGTTTTTAGTTATATATTAATGATAACTCTCCAGTTATTTAATCTCTGCTGAATTAATGATTAGAAGTTTTTAGTCTTTGATCACAGAATTTTGTGCATGCTGCACAGTTGATATCAGCTAAAAGAAGGAAGGATAGAAGGAAGAGAATTCAGTAACTATCTTACATTTCTGCTTCCGATGCCTTGTTTTCCTTCCATTTTATGCAAAATGATCTTGTATTACTCAGAATAAAGAATTATGGTTTAATAAGTTTACCTCGTAAATATCTTAAATTTACTACAGAAAGAATATAATTATTGTTCACAACCATCTTCTTCATGTTTCACTAGATTTGGAAAGAAGAAAGACGATAAGGGTGGGAAGGCTGAGCAGAAAGGTCCTCTAAAGCATGGTGGCCTGAGAGAAGAGGAGCTGGAGAAAATGAAAGAAGAACGTGAAAGGTGAGCAAAAACGCCGAGCCCCTAATTTTTCGAGACCATGGTCTGTATTTAATTTGGTTATTGCATCAATCAACTGGAGAAATTTTAAGAAGCATAAAGGTTGACGCAAAAGTAAAAGTACCTGTTATAAAAGGAAACTGTCTTAGGTGATTTTTATTATATATTGAGAAGAAATTAACTTTGTGTTTTTATTGTATCAGTACTTATAATTTCATAATATGGTACCCTTCGTTTTGACTATATCAATGCATATTTTCCCTATGGTTTAAATGATCAGTTTTTTTATGTATATATATAAAATGGTCATTTTGATTGTTTAGAACTATCAAATTTCCATAGTCTGTTTCTAATTTTTGTCAAGCCGTTGTATGCTTTCTTAATTTTATTCTGCTAAATCCATTTGGGTACTGTAATTTGAGTATATGTCCTTCATTTTTAAAAAGCCAGTGTCTTTTATTAGGCTATCAGCAAGTTGCAAAGGATGTTGCCCATCTGTTAAAGGGCTGGTTCCATTTACTGAAATAATGACAGTTTGCAAGGGCTGAATTCTCTTGTTTGAGGAGCTTGATGTTCCCATTTGGACAAGAAGTCTTTCACATTTCTGTGCCGTTAACTCTGGCACTTATCCCAAGTAGATGTGTAAATATCTGATTTTGAAACACGTAGTTGAATATTCATATTTCTGCTGAAAATTCTTCACCTTTACAATTAAATGAGGCTTGGAGAAAAACTGAGATTATAACAAAACTAGCATATAATTTTAAGTATTTGATTCTGACCTCATGTATGAAGTCAGATTTTCCAAGTTTTCACTTGCTTATTAGTAAATAACAATGGTTCTTTTAGTTTTTAAAGAGTTTTTCATACATATTTTACTACTCTAGTAGGTGTCCTAAGAAAATCAACTTATTCATTGTGTTTTCTGGCACAGAGCAGGCCGAGTATCTACTGTTAACCTTTGACCCCTATCTTGTAGTCTATTCCAATTGAGAAGGTTAACTTTATCAATAGCAAGAAAAAAAACCTATTTAGTCTTTTCTCATTTTTGAGAGGTTGATAAGCTCAATCCCAGGGTCAGTGGAGCAGTTAAAAGAAAATCAAGTGCTTTCAATTGTTGTTGACTATTCACCTGACAGCTACCTCAAAGACAAGATGAATTCTCCATTATAGCCCAAGATTCGTAATCCTGTAATGTAAAATGTAATTCAGGCTGAGACTTTAATGCACATATTGGCAATGCACATATGAGTCCACATCATAGATCTTTGCTGCTCCCCTGGCTTCACTTACTAAGGGACAACATCTTATGCTTCATCTTCGAGAAACTGAGCTGTTTGCTAGAATGCAGACTTCACATTTTTTAGTGGCTCAGTATTTTCTTGGGACTGGGGAGGGGGTGATTCCTAGTAGCCAGGGAACTGTGTGCCAGCTAGAAAATTGATAACTCATAAAATAAGGTGGGTTGTCTTTAAGCAAGAGTTCATTTCCTTTCTGGTTTTGCCTTTAGGAAGCAGGTGCCTGAGGGAATTTTGTGCTTAAAGCAGGGCTGTAAATTTGCCTCAGCTGGCTATATAGGCTTCAGATCCAATTTTTTAAAAAATATGTCTGGTCAAAATATTGAAAGAACTATACTGTTACCCTCCACTTAGGCCACTTCCCACACACATGAACACATAAAACACATCTGATATGGGTTTTCTAGAGACAACATTGTCTCAATCACGTTTGAGGGGAAGAGGTTGGAGGAGTTGATTTTACAGTGGGGTGCTATAGAATTAATGACCAAGGGCATTTCAACAGCTGAGGGCCATAGAGGGTGGAAGTGGAGGCTGAACATTTGGCATTGCTCCCAAACCCGAGTCCCTTTTCTTGGCTCTCCATCATCCATAGGAAACCAATTCACAACTCTTAAAGAACTCAGTGAGTATATCACTCTTCATGGCATGTCCATGGAAATAAAATAGAATAAAATAAGAAATAGTGCATAAAAGTTCACAAAGTTGTCTTTTTTTCTAACACATTTGGAATTTATTTCCTTAAAATTATTTAAGCCATCCTATTGCTTACTTGTTTTACATAGATAAAATAGTTTTTCACTATTAACATATTCCTTTTTCAAGGGATTTAAAGCACTTAAAAATATACTGTACAGTCCTGAGACCAGCTTGTACCAGCCTGTGAGAGACAATTTTTAAGCTTTTAAGAATTTTGTGAGCTGAAGTTCGTTAAACCATTGGTAGCTTGAAAGTGGTTATAGTGAGAGTATTTACTCCACAGAAATTGGCAAATGCAGTAAGTTAGGTTTGTTTTTGCAAACAGCCAGTTTACCAAGACACCACTGAGGGTCTATATCAACCCTATTTAGTATATAACCAGGAACAAATTATCAAAAATAGAGGAAAAAAAAAAAAAACCTCATCCAAATCAAACCACATGACTTCTTATAGCTGTGTTCTTCAAAGTGTGGTTCATGGACCACCTGCATCGGAATCAATCACTTGGGGAGCTTATTAAAAGTAAGGATTCCTATATCCCGCACCCAACTTACAGGATGAGAATCTTGGCAGTCAGAGCCCAAGATATCTGTTTAATAGGTAAGCCCAATGTGATTCTTCCACATCTAAAGTCTGAGACCCACTGCCTTGAAGGAACAGGATTTGACTGGAACATCAGATTAAACTATTCTTATTCTATGATAAATGATACACAGATTCTTTTTCCCCAAGAGGATTGAACAACCCAGTCTAAAACTATTGTCACCTTTCCTGTATGTCCTCAATGAAGCATCCTACCTTACTGGCAACTATTTTGCAAACACAAGAACCCTTGCCAGGGCTCACTCACTTAAGGGCACATGGATCACTGTCCCCCAGCATTGCCCATGCACAAAAGAAAACGTACAGAAACAGTAAATTCAAAAGAAAATTTGGGAAACATAAAGTATAAAGAAGATTTTAAAATCATGTACAATTCCATCATAATTCCATAACCACTATTAGTATTTTCATAATCTTTTCACTATGTATATATTTTCTTTGAAAACTTGATATCCTACTGTATATATAATATCTTACTTTTTCTTAACATTATATTGTGAGCATTTGCTCATGTCATAAATGTTTTGAAAATGTCATGTTAATGACTGCCTAGTATTCTTTGAAATCAATATACCATAACTTATTTATCTTCCATTGTCAAACATATAGTGTTTCTATTCTTCACTGTTCCAAGTACTAATACCTTTATGAGCATCTAGGTATAAAATTTTTTATAGATTACCTCTTAAATCATGTAATTCCTGTTTGAAGACTCAATTTTCTTGTAATTGTTTTACTTAAGGGTTAATCTAACTTCAACTCTAAATTTTAGAATTATATCATCCCTCTTCATTCCTCTCATTATTTTTATTACAATTTCCTTATCTCATTTTTATCTATATATCTAATTTCCAATATGGGACTGTTTGGATTCTATATATGAATATCTTTTTCACAACTAAAGCTATGAAAAGGTCAAAAAGCTGTAATTGGCTCATTGAATTACTAGATTAGATTGGAGGATTGCAGAGTCCAGAATAGTGATTCTCATTGGCGGGGAGGGGTTAGGGGCGGGGGTGCAGTTTTGCCCCTGAAGGAACTTTTGGCTATATCTAGAGACATTTTTGATTGTCACAACTTTGCGGGGTGAGAGGTACGAAAGGAGTTACTACTGCCGTGTACTGGATAGAGGCCAGAGAGGTGGCTAAACACCCTATAATGCACAAGACAGTCACCATCCCCCCAACATTGAGTTATCCGACTCAAACTGTCAATAGCGTGGAGATTGAAAACCCCTTTTCTTACCCCTGAACTTCACGAAGAGTAAGGTAACTCTCCTGGACATTAGAATTGTGTTGTCTCGTGGTATCCTGTGGATAACACAGAGAAATGTGCTCCAGATGTCATAACTCCAGAGGGATTATTAGTTATTTGAGAAACCATACCCCAAGATTGCTTATAAATATTCCATCAATATAATTTAGCAAGAAAAATTTTTCCTCAAAAATTTATTTTTAATTCTGGCCAGCTGAGCATTGGCACTGATGGTGCCTGTTGATCACACTGTGATTGCCAAGAAGCTGCAGGCGTTGATAATGTGTCTGATGACAGAATCATCTGGAACAATGGGTTGAATCAAACATAAAAAAACTTAATAGGAATAAATGTAAAGTCTTACTTTTAGGTCCAAAAATGAACTGTACAAACAGGATGTGGAAGGTTTGACTTAATAATGAATACACGAAAATTTTTCCTGATGGTTTTAGTTGAGGGTAAGTTTAGCCTGAGTCAATATGAGGATGTGCCTGCCAAAAACTTAATCTAGTCCAAGGCTACAGGACTGGCAGTTCATGTACAAAATGAAGGAAGGAACAATAATTCCAGTTTTACACTACTCAAATCACACCTGGAATATCCTGTGCCTCTCTCACATGCAAAGAATGGCAGCACTAAATCTAGGTTTTTCGAAAATGTTGAAGGACTTGCAAATGCATAGTCTGCAGAACTGCAGAGTTAAGATTGAGTTATTTTCACGTGATAGAACTTTCACACGGAAGAGAAATTAGACCTATTTTATACCATCCATTCTGTTTTGTTCTATTCTCTTTATTCATTCATTCATTCATTCATTCATTTTCTTAAAATTATTAATGACGAATTATTTTAAGAGAGGTAGCCTTCAGCTTAATAGAAGGGAAAACATCCTGACAATTAGAATGTCTCATGAAGCAGTAAGTTTGTTGACACTGGAAATGTCTAATAAAAAGCTGATTGAGAAAGGATTAGAGTATCAAAAAAGTACTGGACTAAGTTGGAGTTTTATACACTTCAGTCATTGATAGAATACCTTGTCTTATTTATATTATATATATCCAAATAAGTAAAATATATAAATGCAAAATCATGTAAGTTAATGTAGTTAAATGCATTAAGCCACATATCATCAAAAATTACTTTGTGTAT